CACCGTGAACGAAGCGCTGAAATCTCTCCTGGAAGAGATGAGGCTGAAGTTTTTGGTGAGGAAGACGAGTCGGACGCCAGTGACGTTCGGTTCAACCTGACGACGGCGACACTTTCTTGAGCAGCGAGTGGATGTCGACGCAGCAGCAGAGCTGTTTGTCGGAAAGGCAGAGCCCAAACCTCCGCAGGCTAGCTCCGCAGCAGCTTGTGAAGCGACCGTTGCGCCGGCAGAGGAGGACGACACTGTTCGTCAAAAAGAGAACTGCGGATGTTCAAAAAATTGCTTGCAGCAATTTGACCCAGCTGACATCGAGACGTCGATCCTGAACATGAAAGAAATGGAGTCGCACGAGAGTGAGCTGGTGGTCCTGGGCCTTCTTGAAGCTTTGAGTAATCCTGAAACAGTTTTTGAGAGTGGAGAGAAGCGCAAGAGGGAGCGTTTTACCTACAAATTCCAAGGACTGACTGTTTGTGTGGGTGCGTTCCGTCACGTGTACGCACTGTCTAGCAAGAGGCTGAAACGGTACAGAAGCCACCTGGAGAAGAATGGGCTTGTGCCACTAGTGCACGGCAACACAGGCAAACGGCCACACAATGTCCTGGAGTTTGCTGTTGTGAAGTACTGCGCGGAGTACATCACTCGGCACGCGGAAGTGTTTGGAATTCCACATCCTGCGCCACTCCGTGGCAGAGACGACACGCCACCTATCTTCCTTCCAGCGACACAAACGTACAAGTCCGTGCATGCAGACTTCTGCGACTGCTGCCACAAGGAGGGTAAGAAGTCTGTATCCTTGTCGACGTTCCGCTCCATCTGGCACCAGACATTGCCGCATATTAAGTTCATGACGGCTCGCATGGATGTTTGCCCGGTGTGTGAGGACTTGCGGCGCAACGTGATGGCGGCTGGGAGTGAGGAGCAGAAGACGACTGCATGCATCAGCTGACTGACCATGTTCAGCTGTTGAAGACCACACCTGAGCAGGTGAGAGCAGCAGGCCTTCCCCAAGTGTTGCCCCCAGCAGGTCTGTCACAAGAACGCCAGAAGTACCTGTTCAAGGATATCCGGCCGTTTGTGGCAGACCCTTACAAGGATGAGCTGTGTCCGCCTGTGCCGGAGGAATGACAAACTTGTGTACTGCAACACACGTTTTGAGCCTGATAATTGCTAGAGTCTGGTGCTGTGTCAAACTACATGCCTCAGAACATTCTATTATTCTTCTTGTTAGATCTAAAATGCGGCGTGCCTGCGTGGTACGGAAGGACGTGATGGCCCATCAGACGTCACGCTTGGCACTATAAATTCCATCACAGTGAAACTTATGCCACCTGCCCAGTAGTGTGTGTATACTGTATCCTCCAGCCCTTCTGCTGGTGACTTGAAGGCTTCTGTAAGGCTTCCATGGCCAAATTATTGCAATTTACGCATTTCAAAGATTATTCGTGAATATGTGCGATGTTTTGGTGAAAACAGTGTTGATTTAAACGTCCGTAACTTTGCTATATGTTGATGGATTTTCATTGGGTTTTTTTTATCTGATTCATACGTTCTCTGGCTACAAGAATTCGTTGCTAACTCAAAATGCCCAAAAAACGGATAAGGTCCCTTTTCGCTTGTGCTGGCTCAGTCTGTCTGAGATTCTATTCGAAGTGGCTTATGCGAACATTTTTGGCTGGTTTGCATGATTTGCATGCCCATTAATGCAGCTGCAGGCCATGCTGATGTCTACGCGAACAAGCACGTAATAATAATAAATAATATACACATACCACATACAACAACAGCACACACAGCAAAACCGCACATAGCGCATGTAGCGTATACCACGTCGTAAACATCAGCGGTACGGCGGAGTCGGGATACTTCTGCATTGAAACGAACACAATGGCACAAGCGAGAAGGCCTTTCACTCTCGAGAACTTTTGGTTTCACAACATTCTCCCACCAAAGGGCTTCTCACCGCCGTACAACAACTCACAAGTCAAACGATTTGGGGCTTACTAACTGTTACGCGTCATCTGCTGCTGCGGTGGTGGCCATGGTAGAATATCACTAATGCCCACCACTTCGGCCAACTCGATTTCGTGAAGCTTGCCGCTGTGGGCTGTCCCACACGACATGGTTACCGGTCCACTTTGACGTGGGGCGGATGCTGCACCAGACAACACACAACCGATAATTTCACCAAGCTTGCAGATCTGGGCTGTCACACACGACTCGGTCACTGGGCCACTGCCTCGTTGGGCGGAAGCTGGACCAGATAACATATATCTGATCTCCGTGTTCTACACAGTCTCGCTGCTCACTTCTTCCGTGCTAACCAGTATCGCCCTTCTCATGTCCTTAGTTTCTACGCCTTGCGCTTCTACGTCTTGCGCCTCTACGTCTTGCGCTTCTACGTCTTGCGCCTCTACGTCTGCGCCTCTACGTCTTGTGCCTCTACGTCTTGCGCCTCTACGTCTTGCACCTCTACGTCTTGCGCTTCTACGTCTTGCGCCTCTACGTCCTTCGGCCGAGACTCCAGCTGCTTCTGAGCGTCTCCGACCGATGTCGCCATGCACTGCACCGACGCAGTGGGCGGGCCTTGGATCTGATCCTCCCACTGGCTTCGAATACTCCTCTGACCGCCGCTTGTCTGTAAGCAAAGTCTTCCACGCCTTGTCCGGCGTCCTTCTGAGCGAGGCAAGCAAATCTCGCTTTGCTTCCTCATATTTACTGCTGGCGATGCGCTCGTTCATCTTCTTGAGCTTTTCGTCAAACTCTGTGCGGAGCGCACCCTCTTGCCGTCTAGCACTGCGCTCTTCAAATTCCTCGCTCTGTCGGAGCCTCTTCTCCACGTATTCTCTCAACCTATCGCCTTCAAATCCATACCGAATTCCGCTAGCGATAAAGCTGGCTTCAATGATCCATAGTTCCTGTGCCATGCTCGCTTCGTATCCTGGCGTGGTCGCCAAATGTTGTGAACCCTCTGGTTCTCTAAAGTGTCAGGAACGAACGACCACACGGCACGAGGACAACTCTTTTCCTTTACACGGTATATTTCACTTCCATCGACTAACAATAATGAACAATGAATGAATGAATGAATAACACTAAAACCACCAGGTAGTTATAGCGTGAAAATGACAGCGTATATGAGAAAAGCATACACATACCACATACAACAACAGCGCACTCAGCAAAACCGCACATAACGCCTGTAGCGTATACCACGTCGTAAACATCAGCGGTACGGCGGAGTCGGGATACTTCTGCATTGAAACGAACACAATGTCACAAGTGAGAAGGCCTTTCACTCTCGAGAATTTGTGGTTTCACAACACCATGGGCCTATAAACGGAGGTGGGCTTATATCCGGATATAGGCCCATGGGCTTATATACGCGGGACTACGGTACTAGTTTCATTTAGGCTGCAAGTGCCCATCTAACCTTGGCGTCGCCACCCAGTGCGGGCTGGAGGAGATGTGTGAGCTTGGAATTACGGTAAGGTATGTGCAGGCTGGACGTACGTAATGCATTGAACACCTGCATGAGAGGAAGAGAGAGAGAAATAGACAGATATAGATAGACAGACAGATAGATAGATGGGTAGATAGATAGATAGATAGACAGACAGATAGACAGACTAAGGCGTCGGAGGGGATTTTAGTGTGGTACGGTCAGCCATCTGAAGTACAATATACTCATGGGGGAGGGGTGGCTGAGCTGAAAAATTTGGAAATTTGAGCCCAAATCAGTGCATTTTATTGATTGACGGGGTACTTGGGGCAAATAGTGGTACGACCAATACCGCAGTGACCGTACCGTGTCTGACACCCCTCCAGACAGACAGATAGACAGACAGAGAGTGAAAAAGAGAGGGTGAGATAAAAAGAAAGAAAAAAAGGGGTATTAACCGCACACATCCGTTTTCCAAAAAATTATCCGGATAGGCGAGGGAACCGGATAATCGAACACACATACTGTATGCATACGCCATGACATATCATTAAATCATTAATGATTCATTAATCATTAACCTCGGGTATTGAGCCAATAATAGAAGTAGAAAGGAAAAGGACATATGGAAACGAGTTATGAATAACTATCCACTGCTGTAACTAGATACTATATACAGTCAGAAAGTGCAACAACTAGGCACAAAACTGACAGAGTACTGAGACATTCGACGTCCTGACACCTAGCTTCAACACATCTCCGTAGCGCTAACAGACAGCCTTCCAACTATCTTACAGTGGTGGATAGTTACTCATAACTCGTTTCCATATGTCCTTTTCCTTTCTACTTTTAATCATTAACCATTAATGATTATTCATTAACCAGTAAATCATTAACCAGCAATTTTCCTCCGGATGGCGAAGGATCCGGATAAAAGAGGACCGGATAAGCGACGTCTGACTGTAATGAATCCTGAATTGCATATGAAGAGCAGAGATGCAAAAAGCCGCTAAGCGCCAAATTTCAGAAAATCAGATGTTCAGCTAAGTGTAAACAAACGTCTTGGGGTACCACCAGGTAAAATTTCACGTTCAAAATCTGACTAGAATCAGTTCCAAACTGGAACTCAAATTTAGATATATTAGTAGATACAAACCACGCATAAAATGAATCCATTTTTTGCCATTATCTGAAAAGTGATCATTCGTATTTAGCGGGTTTCACATTCCAACTCTTCCTGTTTACGTCATCCTAATGGCAACGAAGCACTATGCTTTCCTTATCAACACACATACTAACATCTTTGTATGTGCGTGTGTGTGTGTGTGTGTGTGTGTGTGTGTGTGCGTGTGTGCACGCGTATGTATGTGTGTGCATGTGCATATGTGCGCGTATGTTCCAGTATGCATGCATACATGCATACAGTGGACTACCTGGCCAAGCGCAGACAAGGACTTGTTGATGGCGGCCGCCTCTACCAATCTCTCTCCAGTGGCTCCACTTCTGGAGATTCTCTCAGAGCCGGCCAAGTCCAGCAGCATGAGACTACCATGCGTAGTGGCCTTGGATACACGATCCACTCCATCAACGTACAGCTTGAGCATCAGATGGGAACGGGAGCTGGAAAGAGACATGCAGCATCGTCAAACAGTACAATAGTGTTGTTAGGCCTTTGCCTGGAATCCATTATTGATTTTTTTTTTTTTTTTCGATAGTGAGGAAAATGTTATCAACTCCAAAGCACGAAAAAGGCCAAAAACTAAACCAAGAACATATGCAATAACATCCATTATTAATACATTATTTTGATGTTCATAGCTAAATACAAGCTGAAACAGTCAGCACCGTAAGCTGAGTTTGTTGCACATTAAGTTCAACCAACTTTCTTACAATTGTAATGTTTTTTTCACGGCTGAGCGTCGCAAAAGAGTGCAAAAGCGTATTTTTCACTCATAAATATTTTCGTGCGTTTGCTCTTGTTCCGCGCAACTCTGTTGAACCTGTGATCCCCTGGTCTTTGTGTTTTCCTCGTGGTAGTTGAAGTCGAGTGTGATTGCTCTGGTAGACCACTACCCCATGTAGTCAACAGTTGCTTTGTGAATGAAAAGTAATGATAGTTGAGGTCGCTAATGCCACATAAACACACTCCCATAATACCAAACGGTACACTGACCCCACCCCGCCATACTCAAACCCATATGCCGTGAAGCACCCCCCCCCCCCCCCACACACACAACACATACACACACAAATACCCACACACACACACACACACACACACACCCCCCCCCCCCCCCGCACACACATACACACATCCAGAACACACAAATTCAGTTTTTACCTGCTTGTGTTCATAGCTGTCATGGCAACCGTACGGTTCTGTCCACCAAAGTCCATCAGACCCTTGATATCAGCCACTGCAGTGACCTGCACCTCTGTCAAGCCCTAGAGAAGTACAGCCCACATAGTACACAGTGCACACACACACACACACACACACACACACACACACACACACACACACACACACATACACACACACACACACGCACACACATATACACACACGCACACACAAACACACATGTGCGCACACACACACACATACACACACACGCACACACACACACACACACACACACACACACGCACACACACTTACACACACACACGCACACACATGTGCGCACACACACACACACACACACACAAACAAGTACTTGTACTTGCTCACTGCCAAAATTGGTCACGTGGGTCTCCCCGGGAGAGGGGAGAGAGACTCAAAAGTAATCTTGGAAAGATGACTCATGCAATTGGCTATTGAACCGTCCGACGGCCGACACCCCATGAAGTACCCAACCTTTGGGTGGACTTGGACACGATCCCACTTATGGGCTCACGGCTCACCATACCTCAGTAAAGTGGGCGAGGACGAGATGCAGAAAAAGGATTGTCGGCATCAGGGTATCCGACCCGGGATCCAACTGCATAATATACAGTCAGACCTCGCTTATCCGGTCCTCGTTTATCCGGATCCCTCGCCATCCGGAAGAAAATCGCTGGTTACCGATGTGCGGCATATGTTATGCATACAACATAACCGGACCTCGCGATCCGCATACCGGTGCATGATGTTGTGTACAAACTGGTTAAAATGTGCACAAAAAGCTTCGTCGTATCCGGTTGCATGTGGCTTGCAGAAGCTAGAATCAGGGAGTTGTACAGGCAAATGAGGTCCTTGACCTGCCGGGTGCATGCGGACAGCACTCAAGTTGCATGCACTTGTCATTTTTCTCGCTTGTTTTGCATACTGTGCACGCTAGTTGTACTGCATAGGACCCGTCTACATGTATGTGCGATGTCACTGCTTTTGACATGCCACATGCATATACAGTATGTGTGTTCAGTTATCCAGTCCCCTCGCCTATCCGGATATTTTTTGTGGAAAACAGATGTGTGCGGTTAAGCGAGGTCTGACTATACCCCTGCCCCCAGTGAAGGTAATACTTGCTACTAGTGTGGGTGGCTAAATCAGAGTGGATCTGATATAAGCTTCACTAGCACCATTGATTACACAAGAGTTAATCTAGCCAGAAGCAGTTCATGGTTAACAGGTACAGCGCAAGGAAGAAGAGCCAAAACAACTGCATCAAATGCGTGACCCATACACATAAAACAATACAGGCATAGAACAAAAGCCGTGCCCCCCCCCTTCCTCTCCCGTTTTTGTGGGTGAATTTCAAGTGTTCAAAGTACGGCTTATACTCCGGAAAATACAGTAGGGCAAGGTGAGACTCACAGGGACTGTGATTCCTTTGCCTTTCTTCTGTATGGATAGTTTAGAATGGACGGATACTCCCCCGGCGTCTGGACCCCGCAGCAGATCAATCAGTGTTTCATTGTACACTTCTAACATAGAGACCTGGAGATGGTTGGGAGGAACAAACGAGGATCGGCACATGCATGCACACACACACACACACACGGGCACGTTCGCACGCGGGCACACACACAAACAGACATGCACACACATACACATACACACACACACACAGTGTGCACGCAAGCATGTATGCATACGCACATGCACGCACAGTATTATACCCATATGAAGAGCTGAGTTGCAAAACCCTACACATATAAGCGCCAAATTTGAGAAATTAACAGATTTTCAGCTCCGTGTCATATAAAGGTCTAGGGACACCAGTATGCAACATTTCATATCCAAATCTGAATAGAACCAAGGCACGCGTTCTTACTTTCAGTGTATAGTCGATCTGCTTCCGCTCTGAGCATGTCTTGAGCAGCTCCGTTAGTGCTCTGAACAGCAAAGATCGATGTGCACAAGAACAGACTATTTTACGTCAACTACCACACCACAATGGACTCATTGCGCATCGCCAGATATGGAATGCATGAGTAATGAGTACACTGGGATCAGCAATGCACTGTCCAACGCCCGAGATGACCATGCACAGGTGGGTGTGTGGGGTGTTGGCTGTACAAATTACGTCATTGCGCAATGGGTCTAGTGTGCTCTCCGGCCAAACACGACACGTTGCCACAGCACACCATCAGCAAAGCAACACTTCTATCCGTTGGTACTCAGTTCCTTTATGCAGACTGCGCTGATCGTGGGTTGTGTAAAATAATATTCCGTTACACTTCATGCGCGTTTGGTATATGGATGGAGATGAGGAGCAGACATCGAGGAACTGCCTGCCATTAACTCTGTATGTTTCAGCCGATTCCACTGATTTTCTACCAGAATCTGCCTAGTTTTCTAGCATTATCCGGCCAAGGGTTTTAAGAACATACCAGCAGTTCATCCCCATCTGCCCGCTGCCCACTGATAGTGGAACGGAAACAAGGCAGGTCGGCTTTATTAGGAGCTTCTCCGCGTTGGCATCAATGCAATGTAGATATACACAGCATGTATAGCTTTCGCATAAGCCGAAGCGACAACAGCCAAACAGGATATTGATGGCGATATAAAACGCGTGACCAAAATAGAATACAATTATAACGAGCAAACGGACAGCTGAACCGATTTGAATTTGCACTGGCAGGTCGGCTACTTACCTGATATTGATGCCGGGATCGGAGTCTGTTCCCATCATGGTGTAGGTCTTTCCGGCGCCCGTCTGTCCGTATGCCATCAGACACACGTTATAACCGTCAACACAGCTGGTGATGATGGGCAATGTATCCTCAAACACCTGCAAAGGCAAGTGCAACACAAAGTTGAAACAAATTAGCAGGAATCAAATCAAGAGCCGAGTCGATGGGTCCAATGCAGTTCTGCTATGTGTCGTGATTCCCAAAGTGAGTAGTTAGCGCCCTGCCCAAACGCGTACAGCCATTGACGCCCTGGAAGTGTCACTAATCCAGGTTATCTGAGCTTGTTCTTTAAACATCTTTTCTCCCTTTCCATCGTCATCATAACATTGGGCACGATTGGCCGCTTGACTTGCGACGTAAAATAAAAAAAATACATCCATACATACTAGCGTTGCTGGGTGACCACTGCAGTGTACGAATGCCTTGATACAATGAGAGATACATGTTGTCTAGCTGTACAGTCTCTGTGTTGGGTTACATTGTGTACATGCATATGTAGCATGGCTACTTTATGACACGTAATTTGTATACACATAAATAGTACACCGTAGAAATGCATGGATAGCTGTGCGCATACTCGCACTGCCTTGTCTTCTTCTTCTCCTTGTGAGACAATGAACGAATGTTAACTACTTACGTAACAACACGTGTGTGCTTTGAGTGCTGAGAGTATACGAGTTACAATGGTGGCAGCGGTGGGATTCGAACCCACGCCTCCGGAGAGACTGGAGGGAGGGAATAGATGGGGCGTCGGATACGGTACAGTCACTACGGTATTGACTGTACCACGTTTAGCCCCAAGTACCCCGTGAACAACTAAAGTACACTGATTTGGGAAAAAAATTCCAAATATTTTCGGCTCGGCCACCCCTCCCCCACGAGTAAATTGTATTTCAGGTGGCTGACCGCACCACACTAAAATACCTTCCGACGCCCCTGATCTGATCCACTAGCGCATCTTCACAGGTAAAACTCACGCATTCCGATCGGTTTTCTCCGGAAGCGGTTACACTGTACTGGGCTTGGCCGGGTTTCTTACAGATATAGAAGAAACAAACTTGAACTCCACTTGCCCTGAACCCTTCCTTAGATTTGGCTTGACTGGAGTCATACAAGATCTACCCTACTCGATCTTAGTGTACATCCTGTGCGACTGCCCTATTAAATAATAATAATACTAGGTGTCAGGATGTCGAATGTCTCAGTACTCTGTCAGTTTTGTGCCTAGTTGTTGCACTTTCTGACTGTATATAGTATCTAAGTTACGGTGGTGGAGAGTTACTCTTAACTCGTTTCCATATGTCCTTTTCCTTTCTAATAATAATAATAATCCGAAGGGGCTAGCACAACACATTCTGCCTTGGTGACTCACATCTGTTTGTTTGCTGGTCGGCTGGAAGACCTTCTCGAATTCAAACTTCTTGACGTGACCTTGCTGCGTCACCACCTGCAGTTCCGTGTCACTCGGGAACGTGATGGCACTCCGGGCGCTGTTGTCATGTCGACAACGGCAGAACACCCGAATGTTGCCGCGCATCTCCTGGATCTGGGTATGAGGACGGGCAGAAAAATACATACAGTAAAACTGTTTTCTGATGATCGCTTAGTGCGTGAAACTCGGAGTTAAAACACTTTTTCATCCTCTCATTATTTGTTCGAACTAACTCTGCCTTTCGGTATTGAGCACTCTATTGGACAGCCTGGAACCTCTCTGTTTCACTGTAAAACTCCCCTGATTTGGACGCCCACAATCCGGACGCCCACAATCCGGACGCCCGATCTACCGGGCACCTTTCTGACCCATCTAGCGTCACAGAAAACTGGCTTTCCAACCAAAAACGAACGCAAATACCATTCATTGGCATAGATCATGTTTGCTTGCATGCAGTATAAGTATGCAAGTTCTGAGTTACGGGCAATTCATAGTTATGGGCACTGCTTGGTGCAAACCTGCCCGTATCTGGGGAGTACGGGTCGTGCTCGGTCCCGACCTACCCGTATCTGGGGAGTTCGGGTCGTGCTCGGTCCCGACCTACCCGGATCTGGGGAGTACGGGTCGTGCTCGGTCCCGACCTACCCGGATCTGGGGAGTACGGGTCGTGCTCGGTCCCGACCTACCCGGATCTGGGGAGTACGGGTCGTGCTCGGTCCCGACCTACCCGGATCTGGGGAGTACGGGTCGTGCTCGGTACCGACCTGCCTGGATCTGGGAGTACGGGTCGTGCTCGGTCCCGACCTACCCGGATCTGGGGAGTACGGGTCGTGCTCGGTCCCGACCTACCCGGATCTGGGGAGTACGGGTCGTGCTCGGTCCCGACCTACCCGGATCTGGGGAGTACGGGTCGTGCTCGGTCCCGACCTACCCGGATCTGGGGAGTACGGGTCGTGCTCGGTCCCGACCTACCCGGATCTGGGGAGTACGGGTCGTGCTCGGTACCGACCTGCCTGGATCTGGGGAGTACGGGTCGTGCTCGGTCCCGACCTACCCGGATCTGGGGAGTACGGGTCGTGCTCGGTCCCGACCTACCGGATCTGGGGAGTACGGGTCGTGCTCGGTCCCGACCTACCCGGATCTGGGAGTACGGGTCGTGCTCGGTCCCGACCTACCCGGATCTGGGGAGTACGGGTCGTGCTCGGTCCCGACCTACCCGGATCTGGGGAGTACGGGTCGTGCTCGGTACCGACCTGCCTGGATCTGGGGAGTACGGGTCGTGCTCGGTCCCACCCTACCCTGGATCTGGGAGTACGGGTCGTGCTCGGTCCCGACCTACCCGGATCTGGGGAGTACGGGTCGTGCTCGGTCCCGACCTAACCGGATCTGGGGAGTACGGGTCGTGCCTCGGTCCCGACCTACCCGGATCTGGGGAGTACGGGTCGTGCTCGGTACCGACCTGCCCGGATCTGGGGAGTACGGGTCGTGCTCGGTCCCGACCTACCCGGATCTGGGAGTACGGGTCGTGCTCGGTCCCGACCTACCCGGATCTGGGGAGTACGGGTCGTGCTCGGTCCCGACCTACCCGGATCTGGGAGTACGGGTCGTGCTCGGTCCCGACCTACCCGGATCTGGGGAGTACGGGTCGTGCTCGGTACCGACCTGCCTGGATCTGGGGAGTACGGGTCGTGCTCGGTCCCGACCTACCCGGATCTGGGGAGTACGGGTCGTGCTCGGTCCCGACCTACCCGGATCTGGGGAGTACGGGTCGTGCTCGGTCCCGACCTACCCGGATCTGGGGAGTACGGGTCGTGCTCGGTCCCGACCTACCCGGATCTGGGAGTACGGGTCGTGCTCGGTCCCGACCTACCCGGATCTGGGGAGTACGGGTCGTGCTCGGTACCGACCTGCCTGGATCTGGGGAGTACGGGTCGTGCTCGGTCCCGACCTACCCGGATCTGGGGAGTACGGGTCGTGCCTCGGTCCGACCTACCCGGATCTGGGGAGTACGGGTCGTGCTCGGTCCCGACCTACCCGGATCTGGGGAGTACGGGTCGTGCTCGGTCCCGACCTACCCGGATCTGGGGAGTACGGGTCGTGCTCGGTCCCGACCTACCCGGATCTGGGGAGTACGGGTCGTGCTCGGTACCGACCTGCCTGGATCTGGGGAGTACGGGTCGTGCTCGGTCCCGACTCCCGGATCTGGGGAGTACGGGTCGTGCTCGGTCCCGACCTACCCGGATCTGGGGAGTACGGGTCGTGCTCGGTCCCGACCTAACCGGATCTGGGGAGTACGGGTCGTGCTCGGTCCCGACCTACCCGGATCTGGGGAGTACGGGTCGTGCTCGGTACCGACCTGCCCGGATCTGGGGAGTACGGGTCGTGCTCGGTCCCGACCTACCCGGATCTGGGGAGTACGGGTCGTGCTCGGTACCGACCTGCCTGGATCTGGGGAGTACGGGTCGTGCTCGGTCCCGACCTACCCGGATCTGGGGAGTACGGGTCGTGCTCGGTCCCGACCTAACCGGATCTGGGGAGTACGGGTCGTGCTCGGTCCCGACCTAACCGGATCTGGGGAGTACGGGTCGTGCTCGGTCCCGACCTACCCGGATCTGGGGAGTACGGGTCGTGCTCGGTACCGACCTGCCCGGATCTGGGGAGTACGGGTCGTGCTCGGTCCCGACCTACCCGGATCTGGGGAGTACGGGTCGTGCTCGGTCCCGACCTACCCGGATCTGGGGAGTACGGGTCGTGCTCGGTCCCGACATAACCGGATCTGGGGAGTACGGGTCGTGCTCGGTCCCGACCTAACCGGATCTGGGGAGTTTTCCTGCATGCTCATGCACCATGCACCCTTGGCCTTACAGACATGCACGCATACGTGTGTGCCTCGGCCTCTGAAATCCTAGGATACAATTCGCCCAGCGTGTGATATTCACCGCATTCCCCGTCGCCAGACCCATACATTCCCAGGAATAATTGCAGCCGAGGACTGCTTGGGTTAGAGGTGTATAGTTTTTAGAGCAAGATAAAGTGGATACCGTGAGGTCTTCACACTATCAGACGAGTTTCTCATGATAAGAAAATATTGCTTTGAGGAACAGACGGCATATCTCTTCGGCAGATGAAGCTAAGGAAAAATCAAGACATCGACCAATTTTCACGAGATACTCATTGATGATCTTGCAAAGACTTGCCTGATTGAAGAGCTGCTTGCGTTGCATGAACTCCCGCATGTACAACGTCCTCATTTTCTCCAGCTCCGAATCAAAGTTGGTAACTCGCTGGTCGATTGTGTGGAAGTGAACATTGCCTAGACACACACGCACACGCAATCACGCACATATACACCCACACGACACCACACACACACACACACACACACACACATTCACACACACACACACACACACATTCACACACACACACACATACACATACACACACACACACACCCTATCTGTCTTATCCGGAACTCCAAATTACCTGGAGTTCGGGATAAGACAGATATGAGTGTACATGTACTAGGAGTCGGTTCTGACAGGAAGGGCCCAGCCCTGTTACTACCGGCAGATGTGTCGCCCTAAGGCCTGCTGGGAAGGAAAACCTACACAAACGTGTGTGAATCTATACCAGAAACTGGACCCACATTGATTCAAAAAGGCAGAGTCGTCCTAACTCCCAGCTAGCTGTAATCTAGAACAGTCAAGCCCAATGCAAGCTACTGTAAATATACAAATTTTCGGCAGCTATTTAATTTCGGCTATATTCGGCACCGACCCAAAAACGCCGAAATTAAACGCCGATGAAATTTTTCACAGCATCTGTCGCACTGTCGCACTATACCATGCCTTCTACCCCACGCGCACGCCGAAAATAAATCGCCGCCGAAATGTCAAAAATCGTTGAAGTGCCGAAATTTTGCAGCGCCGAAATTTTGTATACTTACAGTACATGTGAACAGTTTAGATGCAAACGAGACAGGCGCCAAATTTGAGAAATTGAGATTTTGGCTCAGCGTAATCAACAGGTCTACAAGTAGAGACACCTTCATGCAAAATTTCACATTCAAAATCTGAATAGAACTAGGGCTGAAACGATTATACCGAATAATCGAGTACTCGTTTGATAACTCTGACGATCGAGCAATCGTTTAGATTACCGATTACGATTATTTTGCGTTTTTTAAATTTGTGTCAAGAAAGTACTGTAAACCCTCGTGTTGTGAAGTTTGAATCAGTTTCCGCTGGGAGTATGCAATTGCCAGGGGTATGGTTCATGTTCTGAGGTTAAATTGACTTCAAACTGCCATGTTTCGGAGCTACCCTTTCACTAATGCAGATTTGTTGGTATTATGAAGGCATAGTTTGTGGATACAGTAATGTTTGCACAGAATTATGACTCTGTTTGCTAACGGTTATAATCGATTACTCAATCGTTAAGCTAAAGAGTGATCGATACTTGAAAATCCACGATCGTTTCAGCCCTAAATAGAACCACTTGAAATGGTGGCCAGATATGGATTCTGATACTGCACATAAAATGAATCCTTTGTTGGTCTTTGTCTGTGGTGAAATAGGTATGTCGTGTTTTGCCTCTTCACTCTTCAAGTACTCTCGTGGACATGGAAATCCGGTCGCACGTCTAGCGCCCGCAGGGCGCTGGCCAGCAGATAAGCGGTAGACAGATGCATTTATGCGCTGCAGCGCGCTGGGCGCATCGGATCAACATGTGCACTGCACGCAGCGTTCTCTACACGCTGAGGGCGGCCGGTCCTGATCAATCGACCGGATTTCCATGTCCACTAGAGTATGATGTGCTTACTTTCTGAACTAGTCCAGACCATCATGGAGAACTCGCGGACGATCAGCTGCCGCAACGAGCGTGCATTGGCGTGCATTCCCTTGGTGGCACGCATCAACTGGCCCGCTTTCTCTCGGCTCAACGCTGGTCGGTTGCCATGGTGATTATTTTGATTGGACGTGGCGGCGCGGAGGAGCTGTTGCTGCTGCTCATGAACTGGTCCGGCGACCAAGCCGGCTTGTCTCGTAACTCTGACAACCGTGCCTCGGCCGACTCCAGCTGCCGCTTCACGCCAGCCATCTGCGTGTTAAGCGACCGGTTGTCATGGCGCTGCGGAAGTGCATTGCAAAAAAAGATGGCAGGAAAAAAACTCAGACACATTGATTGGTGATGGAAAAAAATTGCTGGAAAGGACTAAAAAGAAATATTCATGGAGGATATGGGGTTCGAACCCATGCCTCTCGCATGCAAAGCGAGCGCTCTACCACTGAGCTAAACCCCCGTCACATGTGCAGGCAATCCAGAGGAGTTCATATCAAGTTTACGGTGTTGATGCAGCATTCTCGGGTTTCTGTACTTATGTATTCCATATCATCGAATGCGTCAAAACACCTCATACGCTATCCTGCTGCCTTTCGGGTGCCGATTGGTGTTGTCTGGCAATCCAATTTGGTTTGGGGCTACTCCACTTTGGATTGGAGTATCTATTTTCGTCTGATGAACGATTCAGTTCGTGAAACTCAGAGTTACGAAAAACAACTGCTCGTTCTTCTGTCCGTGTATAATGGGAATAAAATGTTCGTGAGCGTGCGCATGTTTGTATGTGTATATATCTGTGTGTGTGTGTGTGTGTTTGTGTGTGTGTGTGTGTGTATGTGTGTGTGTATGTGATATGTGCACGTCTGTGTATGTGCGTGCAAGTAGTTACCATGGTTTCCAGTTCCACTCTGAAGTTAATGTTCTCCTCTTGCAGTCTGTCTGATTCCCTCCGTGCATTCTCCAGCTACGATAGGCAAAACATGAAACAACAAGTTTTCAGGCCTGGCCCATCATCATCATCATCATCGCTGAACAGAAAACCACGTAAAGAAAAGAATGTCACGCAAAGCTGAACACCACTTCAGACTTAGCTGAAGGCCCAGTTTTGCGCATCCGCAGAGGAACACCACCACCCTCAAGGATCAAGGCGCAGATGCAGCTCCTAAAGGACAGCTTACAAGATGGAGTGAATTTTACGACTCAAAGAGAAAAATACATTTGCTAACCTCAAGCTGCAGAAAGTTGATTCGCTCCTTCATCTGCCCGCTCTCCAGCGACACGGCTGCCAGATCTGTTACCTATGAGCAGTAGACGACGTGGAAAAGAATGTTGCCTCGAGACAATCATCTATCATTGTCAGTATACAATTACAGTCCGCACATGTCACCGTTACAAAGTAGCAACCCAGGGCAACGGAACAAAAGGTGAGTACGAGGGTAAGTGTAGGTCAGCTTGGAAAAGGTTGTAGATTGTACAGGTGAGGTACCTAATACCTGTAGAGCTTACCCGCTTCTCCAAACTGTCCTGGAGTCCCTGTATCAGTCTGGACATACTCTCCATTGGGTTCTCCTCCGTTTCCTCGGCTGCCTCCTCCGGGTCGTTGGTTTCCTTCTGCGGCTGAGGCGGACTGTGCTTGAAATCGGACATCTCCATACAACCTGTACACGCATGGATTTGCAGAACACAGATGATCGGTATGCATCGGAGGAGTCCACAACGCCCCACCTACACACCTACACAGCTGTGCTAGTGGATACTAGTGGTCAGTCCCGACTCAATAGTAGTTTGTTCTGTCAACCCACAACTTCCGTGTTCTAGTCGTTTCTTAGTTCTCCCTGCATGCAACTTTGTTATCTTTCTTGTTATTGATTTTTTGTCTCGAGCCGTGTTTGTGTTCTTTGCAAATATTAATTTTAAAAAATGCACCTTGTAACTCACAGGGATCACAATCACTCGGTGTTCTGTGGAAGATGAGTTCCTGTTGTTGTGGTTTATGTGATTGTGTTCGGATTCGCTGGCTAAAATGGACGGATATATTGAATAAAAAAGAGGCGGCTACGGAGAAGCACAGTGCTATGAATTGATGAAGAGAAAGAGAGAGAAAAGGAAAGAGAGAAGATTCCCCGGAGAGCCATGGACGAATGTTGTCACTGATTCGCCTGCTAGCAGGCACAATCAATAATCTAACTGCATTGCAGCCTGGATATGCTAATCACACAAAGAGCGCAAGAAACACGCACAGCGTCTACAAGGTTGCACAACATCCCATAGTCTAAATCTCTAAAAAAATGAATCACTTAGTCTTTGCAATCCCTCCTACAGCCATGGCTTAAGCCGAAACAATCAGCCTCCATTCACACATGGACATATACAGTGAAACCTGTCAAGGCGACCACTCGGATAAGGTGGCCACCTGTCCTCAGTAGAAGACCACTGAAACCAGGACCAAGGGATGCTATGTCCAGTCAAATGACCCTGGATAAGGAGACCACCTGGTAACAGAGACCACCTTTTGAATGTCCCATGAGCGGTCGTCTTAGACAGGTTTCACTTTATGCGTTTTAGTTCATTGAGTTTCGTCTACCACCGGGCTCACATGTATCGCATTATTCCGAGCTCACAACATACCGAACACGTCTGCAGCCAAGAAGTCCCCAATAACGTTGTCCGAGCTGTAGTTTAGAGATCGCAGCCAGCTGAGAATGTCCATGTCCGTTCTGCCACCGGGGTACCATACGCTAAAGAGAATAGTAGTGACAACAACGATAGCAGCAGCCGCATCAGCAGCAGCAGCAGCAGCGGGAGCAGCGATGTCGGCAGCAGCAAGAACAGCAACACCAGCAGCAACAGCAGCAACAACAATGGCAGCAGCAACAGCAACAGCAGCAACAGTTCCAGCAGCAAAAACGGTTACAGCAACAATGGCAGCAACAACAGTGACAGCAGCAATGGCAGCACCAGCAGCAGAAGGGACGGTGGCAGGAACAACAACAAAAACGGCATACTTATGTATTTACCAGTCAGCATGGGTGGTCCAGCTTTAACCTGAACAATGCTCAGTGGCCAGCCCTATTCTGGTATGACCTGGGCCGTGTAAGGAAGATATGCCAAGGTTATGCGAGTAAGATCATACAACTGTCGTGGACATGGAAATCCAGTCGAATGACCGGGGCCGGCGCTCTCAGTGCGTACAGGACATTGCATGCAGTGCACAATCATGTTCATCCGATGCAACCAGCAAGCTGCAGGGCATACTGTAAAAGCCATATATATATTATAACGATGTGCTAACTCTAACGAGTTAACGAGGAGAAATCTGTCGTTAAAATAGAAATCGTTATACAGAAATCGATACATATACTGTCCTACTAGTATTGAGCGTTGAGAATGGGTGAGAATCGTTACCTTTGGTACACGTAAACCAGTCACTTGCGGGAAATCGATATAATATGCGCCTCGTTAGAATAATGGCTCTTACAGTAAATGAATATGTGCACCTGATGCGTGCTCACGGCTGCATGACCAGTTCCCTGGGGGCACTGGTCATGCGACCGGATTTCCATGTCCACGACAGTAGTACCCATGAACGGCTCAGCAGTAAGCACTGCGTGGGTGGCCAAACGTCGGTCTGGCCCTGGTCGGACAAATCAGACCGGTTCGCCGAGCCTGGCTTATACCTAGAGTTTGTAGTGTATGAGAGATACAATTGATCTAAATACCCTATCGCGCCCTTCTATCGCAGGCCACCCGCTTGTGAGAGACACTTCAGCATGCTTATACCTAGGGTTATGAGAGTTGTGAGTGTCCCTACCTTGATTCTCTTCACCAGCCGCTGTATGGCTGGCAGCTGGAGTTCCCATGCTGGAGGCATACGCACCCACTCACCAGAGTGTTCGTCCAGGAAACACACCACATTGAGCTTCATCTGAGCAGCACACAAACAGTGGAACATAGTCCAGCCAGTATACATTAAAACCTGTAACTACAGACCACCGTGACTAGCGATCAGCCTGGTACTACAGACCACCGTGACTAGCGATCAGCCTGGTACTACAGACCACCGTGACTAGCGATCAGCCTGGTACTACAGACCACCGTGACTAGCGATCAGCCTGGTACTACAGACCACCGTGACTAGCGATCAGCCTGGTACTACAGACCACCGTGACTAGCGATCAGCCTGGTACTACAGACCACCGTGACTAGCGATCAGCCTGGTACTACAGACCACCGTGACTAGCGACAGGCTGGTACTACAGACCACTGTGACTAGCGATCAGCCTGGTACTACAGACCACCGTGACTAGCGACCAACCTGGTACTACAGACCACCGTGACTAGCGATCAGCCTGGTACTACAGACCACCGTGACTAGCGATCAGCCTGGTACTACAGACCACCGTGACTAGCGATCAGCCTGGTACTACAGACCACCGTGACTAGCGATCAGCCTGGTACTACAGACCACCGTGACTAGCGATCAGCCTGGTACTACAGACCACCGTGACTAGCGACCAGCCTGGTACTACAGACCACTGTGACTAGCGACCAACCTGGTACTACAGACCACCGTGACTAGCGATCAGCCTGGTACTACAGACCACCGTGACTAGCGATCAGCCTGGTACTACAGACCACCGTGACTAGTGACCAGCCTGGTACTACAGACCACCGTGACTAGCAATCAGTCTGGTACTACAGACCACTGTGACTAGCGATCAGTCTGGTACTACAGACCACCGTGACTAGCGATCAGCCTGGTACTACAGACCACCGTGACTAGCGATCAGCCTGGTACTACAGACCACCGTGACTAGTGACCAGCCTGGTACTACAGACCACCGTGACTAGCGACCAGCCTGGTACTACAGACCACCGTGACTAGCGACCAGCCTGGTACTACAGACAACCGTGACTAGCGACCAACCTGGTACTACAGACCACCGTGACTAGCGATCAGCCTGGTACTACAGACCACCGTGACTAGCGATCAGCCTGGTACTACAGACCACCGTGACTAGTGATCAGTCTGGTACTACAGACCACCGTGACTAGCGACCAGCCTGGTACTACAGACCACCGTGACTAGTGACCAGTCTGGTACTACAGGACCACCGTGACTAGCGACCAACCTGGTACTACAGACCACCGGGACTAGCGATCAGCCTGGTACTACAGACCACTGTGACTAGCGACCAGCCTGGTACTACAGACCACCGTGACTAGCGACCAGCCTGGTACAACAGACCACCTTGACTAGCAACCAGCCTGGTACTACAGACCACCGTGACTAGCGATCAGTCTGGTACTACAGACCACTGTGACTAGCGACCAGCCTGGTACTATAGACCACCGTGACTAGCGATCAGCCTGGTACTACAGACCACCGTGACTAGCGATCAGCCTGGTACTACAGACCACCGTGACTAGTGACCAGCCTGGTACTACAGACCACCGTGACTAGCGACCAGCCTGGTACTACAGACCACCGTGACTAGCGATCAGCCTGGTACTACAGACCACCGTGGCTAGTGACCAGCCTGGTACTACAGACCACCATGACTAGCGACCAGCCTGGTACTACAGACCACCGTCACTAGGGATCAGCCTGGTACTACAGACCACCGTGACTAGCGACCAGCCTGGTACTACAGACCACCGTGACTAGCGACCAGCCTGGTACTACAGACCACCGTGACTAGCGACCAGCCTGGTACTACAGACCACCGTGACTAGCGACCAGCCTGGTACTACAGACCACCGTGACTAGCGACCAGCCTGGTACTACAGACCACCGTGACTAGCGACCAGCCTGGTACTACAGACCACTTTGCCAGGCACGGACGGTCTCACATTCATATAATGGTTGTGCGGTGCAAACCTCTAACTAAGGACCACCTGCCACTAAAGACCGCTTTCTCTGGCCCCAAGGGGTGGTCGTTAGTTACAGGTTACACCGTAATAATATTGGTACCGCAGCCAAAATGCAAGGGAAACAATGTCAACAGCAACATCACATGACAATGATGCGAAAAAACGCTTCGGAGACAGCAGCTATAACACAGGAACAAGGAGGACTAATTTCACCGTATGCATTTCCTATTTTGTTGACATGCACGAGTATAATGGGATAATAGATTTGTTTATTCCCGTAGCTATGCAGAAGATGTTACTTCAGTAACGTCTGGCGCTAGCCAGGGTCCACACAGCTTTAATTTGGTGTTTGTTTGTTTGTTTGTGTCACGCCTGGAGCTATCCCGTATCTGTCCCGTATCTGTCCCGTATCTGTCCCGTATCTGTCCCGTGTCTGTGACTACAAAGGCTCTACAGGATTGTACATAACAGCTGGCCACAATATTGGCTGGCTCCCGTATCTGTCCCGTACCGTACCATCAAACACAGCTGGCCACAAACAGCTGGCCACAATACTATGGTATATGGTATATGATATATGGTTCAGTTCCAAGAGGAATCTGGAGCTCGCTGAACCAATCGATAGTCGATAAGCACTGGCTAACGAGGGACCACTCTTTGCAGGCTCTGAGGGATGTATCGAATGAAGAAAAGTTGAACTGACTTGGTTCGTGTGTCTCGCTGACCTTGTAATCGGAGTCTGGCGAGGGCAATGTCGTGGTCGGAGTTACCCAGCGGTGCGGCAGTTGAGAGGTTAGAAAGAAGTAGTGGGTGGTTGGTTAAAGCCAGGTCTAACGCACTGGCATGACCACTGTGTTGGGAGTAATGTGTGGGAAAGGTAACGAGCTGTGATAGGGAGAGCATTTGAAGGAGACAAATCAGTTCATGACCAACCGCATCTGTGGTCGATCCATACCACTCCGAGCGTTGAAGTCCCCAGAGTCGAGAAGCATGGAGTCGGGCATAGATAAGCGTTGCAAGATGGGTTTAAAGGGGAAGTTAAGGCAAAAATTAAAATTTCACCAGTTGTAGTCTTCGGGGTGCTGAGTCGAATGGTCTTGGTCCGAGAAAGCTGAGACGCTCCCTTCCTACTTGAATCCCAATCGAACTCGCGCACTTCCACCGAAACTGGGTGACTGCGCCCTACTAGATGGGGATTTGTATGCAAAATGTCACTAAAAGCGCCGTTTCGTTCTTATAAAAGCACGGATGACCGCGATTGGCCCATATGTTGTAGTTTTTGGATGCTGAGTCGACTGGTTTTGGTCCGAAAAGGCTGCGATGCAGCGTTCCTCCTTTATTCCCAATCGAACATGGTTGAACAAGCGGTCACGTGCTCCTGCGTACACCAGTCAGCTGGTCACCGTGCCTGCAGGGTACAACTTACTAGCCTGTTTGACCTTTTTTGGGTGCAGTCCTGTCACTCGAGTTGAACTCGAGTTGAACCTTGGTGTGAAAGTTGTCGCCTGCTGGCGTGGTGACCAGGTGATTTGGGCACCCAGGAGCACGTGACCACTTGTTCAACCATGTTCGATTGGGAATAAAGGAGGAACGCTGCATCGCAGCCTTTTCGGACCAAAACCAGTCGACTCAGCGTCCAAAAGACTACAACATATGGGCCAATCGCGGTCATCTGTGCTTTTATAAGAACGAAACGGCGCTTTTAGTGACATTTTGCATACAAATCCTCATCTAGTAGGGCGCAGTCACCCAGTTTCGGTGGAAGTGCGCGAGTTCGATTGGGATTCAAGTAGGAAGGGAGCGTCTCAGCTTTCTCGGACCAAGACCATTCGACTCAGCACCCTGAAGACTACAACTGGTGAAATATTAATTTTTGCCTTAACTTCCCCTTTAAATTGAGTAAAGAAATTGGCGGTGTGTCAATGATGGCGGCCTATACACCGATCCTAAATAGGGCAAGATCATAACGTGAAGCAACTTGGAAGAATGAGTATGGATGCGAAGTGTACCGGGGAATGAATGAAGAGCGATTGTGCGGGTTCGAATCCCAGGTTATGCCTGAAAAAAAATAGAAGAATTGAAAAACTTATAACATCCCTTTTTTTGTCCAGGTCATCAAGGCAAAAAAGCATAGCGTAGGGCCCTGAGCTTCCAAGCTCTCTCGTTTTAATTCGAAACCGAACGGGCAGATCTGCAGATTCACTGATTACCATAACAAGAAAACATTTCTGAACAAATCTTCTCGTTGTGTGCCCAACAATCATCATGTCACATTCTACTCATGCATGTCGACAAAATCAATATGAAATGCTCACAGCGAAAAATTAGTCCTCTTTGTTACTGTACAAAGATGTGAGGAACACTATTATCTATGGCCATACCTCAAACATGTGAGTGAGGAACTTTCCATGCTTGGGATGTTCGAATTCACCGGATCTGGAGTTCTTCTCCGCTGCTAGTCGTTGCTCTTCCAGTTTTGATCGATCAGCTTCGGTGTCCAGTGTCTGTGTGAGCATTGCAGACAAACAGACAATAGACATGGGTAAACGGAGCAACATGGAAATGAGCGAAAACGAAGGATACAGACAACAATGGCAGAGAATGGTGTACAGGCGGAAAGAGAGAGAAGAATTGGAGAGAGATAGAGTGAGGAAATGGATGAGAGGACTGAGAGTGGGGGAGAGAGATATCAATATAATTATATAAAGAGAGAGAGAGAGAGAGAGAGAGAGAGAGAGAGAGAGAGAGAGAGAAGGAGAGAGATAGGTAGGTAGATAGATAGATAGATAGGTAGATAGGTAGATAGATAGATAGATAGATAGATAGAGAGAGAGGGAGAGAAAGAGATAGATAGATAGAGAGAGAGAGAGAGAGAGAGAGAGGGAGAGAAAGAGAGAGGAGATAGAGAGAGTTAGAACGAAATGAGAGAGGGCGAGGTTACTGCGACGATTTTTTTGATTTTCCACCTTACCTCCTCGCCGGTTGTCCTTTGTTCGTCTTCAATGTGACCTCCTTCCAGCTGCTCTGTACTCACTCTCTTCCACTCCTGAACAGACAAAATAGACATGCAGATCCTTAGTGATCCTTAGTACACATTTATAATGAGTGGATATTCAGTGGAAGATCAAACAACATAGCCCATACGTCCTCAGTCCTTCGTATGTATGCACTGTTGTTGCTTGTGAATGGTATCACTGGACATGATGTAGAGAGCACTATAAGCAGTCTGAGGATCTTAGACAACAGACAGGTGACGTCTAAACTGAACTTGTAGAGTTTGGTCTAACCTGTGTGTCCCAGTTGATGGCATACAGTTTGCCATCCTCAGCACGATAGACCGTGAGTTCCTCGCCAGTGGCCGTCACAAACTTCTTCAGGACGTCTCCCTCCTGCGGTGGTTTGCTCTGCTTGTCCCTGGTATGCGCTGAACGAGATGTTTCCTTCTGGCGGACAGCTGATTTTCGTGTTCTCGATTCGTGTGGACTGTTTTCGGGTGTGTGACTGTGATGGTGGTGGTGGTGACGGTTGTGGTGCTGCACACTCGATGGGTTACTCAGTGACTGGTTCGGGTATAACTGGCCATTCTCCGTCTTGATGGATTGATCCACTGTGGATGGTACTGGATATGGTTCTGATATTTGTGTGCGACCTTGCTGCTGGTGTTGCTGCCGGTTTTGCCGCTGCTGCTGCTGTTGCTGCTGTTGCTGCTGCTGCTGGTGGTGCTGGTAATACTGTTGCTGGCTGGTCTGGTGTTGCTGCTGTTGCTGCTGCTGCTGCTGCTGTGAGCTTTCGGTATTGTGGTGTGAACGTAGACCTTCCTGTGATTGTGCGTTGCTTGTGTTCTGCACGTTCTGTTGATGCACTTGGTGCACTGGCTGCTGAGATGTGGGCTGTTGCTGGTACTGGTCAGGCTGCTGTTTCTGCTGGTGATTTTCAGCATGACTTGTACTGAGCGCATTATCAGCAGTACTTGACATTGCATGCTGTGGATTCGCTGTGCCTCGCCCGGAGCCTACTGGCGGCTCAACACTGCGTTCGTTCCACTCTGCGGATGGTGGATTTTGTCGTTGTGTCGCGGTGTCTGGTTCGCGGTGAGGTGTGTCTTTCCAAACAGCCGGAGCGTCCGCCACATACACTGGTACGACATTAGAGCGGGTCCGCTGCGATGCGACATTCTGGCCAGGTGCTTCCGAAGCGTGTCGTCGTTGCCTCGCCGCCGCTCCGTCGTCGTTCGCACCAACACCACCCGTACCCGGACCGATAATAGTGACACCGTTTTCGTCACCAGCACGCTTGGTAGCGCCAGCACCCATCTTCGAATGCCACCTGAGCTACGGCGGAACTGCGGCACCTGCCCGGCCCCTGTTTCTGGTGTTCTGTAAAGGCTCCGTCCGATATTCTTCCGATTTAGGTCGACCACGAAATCATCTGAAAATTCCTGCTGCCTTTCGAATCAATGAACTTTTACTACAAGCCTCCGTAGTTCAGACAAAAGCGACCATTGAGCATGCCTAGGACATACTGCTACTAGCTATGAGAGCGTGGCTTTCACTATCCCGCCCTCTCCTCAGCATTTCTCGCAAAATCAATCGAACCGGCAGGAAAATCTCGTTCATTTCCTCCCTGTCTCGCTAGCTTCGAATCGACCGCCAAATGAATGACTTGTCACAAACTGGAAGGCCTTGGCTTGGGTAACTCCGACTACTTCAATGAGTACCCCACTAACCGGTCGCATGAATATCCAGGAACGGGAGAGGTTTCCGAAAAAGTGTATGTCTAAGTGACCACAGGCAACATCACGCACCCTATGCGTTCCGCCTGGGACACAACAACAACAACACTCGACAGGAGAATCCGGGGAGTGAGCGCCGAAATGCACAGAAAACGAAGATGCGGAACCGTTGCTATCGATCATCGCACTTGACGTCCAGTGGATCTACGCTCCCAGTACAGTCATGACTGTCTGTAGCATTTCATGGTGGTGGTCTTCCATGCCGTCTACCTTGGTCTACTGCTCGCTGTACATCATGGTAGATCTACATGTCGAGATAATAATATCTGTGGCGTGAAAGAAAGAACACAGTCGTAAAGACTGTCTGATTATCTGCATGCATGGCATTGCTATGGGGACTGTGTGGCGGCTGCAAGAACATGCAAAAACTGCTATAGTCTATAGTCTGTGTAGACAGCTCATGCCGAGTTACAACTCGTTTCATGAGTCATGTCCACTGCTTCCCTGACATTACAGTCATGTCGCTACGCTGGGAACGTCAGCCGAACCTTGACAAACAGAATGTCAAAAATGACAATTGCTATCGTTCTAGCACCGTACATTACCACAATGATAAACGTAAGAATACAAAAATAGCAGAACTGTCAAAAAGTAAAACCACGGTGTCAACCACATCGTCAAACTATCCTTCGGGAAATCTATTGCTAGTACATGTACATTACATGTACGTAGCTCACATGGCGGATAATGCACGACAAATTAATTGGCAGATTCTGCTCGAAAAGCAGTGAAATTGGCAGAACGTTGCAAACTTTATGCCAAATTATGGCAGGCACTTCCTCGAATTCTGCTCCATTTCTTTATCCACATACCGAACATGCCTGACATACTAGTCGTACAGTGTAGCAGAAAGTACCGCCGATTTTGCTGCTGCTGGCATTGTCCGCCAAGCAAGGAGTGTACCAGCACTGGCAGCAGGGAGTCGGGAAAGACCGGGAGAGGCCACCGCTCCCTGGCCTGGCTACAGCGCCCGTCTTTTGGCCAACACATTGACGTCTTTACTCTTTTTACTAGTAGTAGTACTAGTTACTGTTTAGGCTCCGTACAATCATGCTCATATCTACATGCACAACACGTGACTCTTGAGGAATGAATAGCAGGGGATAGCTAGACCGCAGTGAGGCATTTTTGGCCTCTTGCGAAGTTGCTGAGCTGTGACTGCAAGAGTGCGAGTGTGAATCACTTTCACCGCACAAGGTATTCTACAGATCATGGAGTCGTAAAAACGGGCTGTTACGACAAGCTGGTAGGTATACAAATACACGCACAGGACCATTGGAAACCAGTGGGAAAGTGACGGACCTGAACATGACTTTTACACAGAGCCAGTACTGCAGTAGTATCCACACAGTCTCTCGATCGTTGCGACTCAGTGGCCTGTATCGACCCGATGCCAATGCTCGACGCGACGCGGCCTAGCTCAGCTGGTTCCCTCGCTATTCTTCCGTTGTACTGTAGATTGTTGGGGATGTGTTACGCTTACATTTTACAGTTCTAGAAATGGTCAGTTTTCTCCAGTTCGTGGCGATGCGAGGTTCTAAATGGACGTCGACCACAGGGGACAAAGTTATGGTGAGAAAGTAGCCATTGATGTTGTCAAAGAGAGGCGTCAGCGACTGAGACAGTTTTTGGCAGCTGCGGCGGTGGTGGTGGCCGTGTGCTTCCTATTCGCCACTGTTTCTCACCGACCACTGCGCGTTGTCGTGCTGCGTACCACGAGTGCTAGTGGTGGTGGTGCTTTCAGTAGGAATTTGGAGCGTCAGCGGCCTCACGATGGGGCCTCCTCCCACAACGGAAGCAGCAGCAGCATCGACCAGCCTGACATCCTGCTGGAGGCTGATCATGCCAGCAGCACGAGTGGCCCTTCACTTTCGACATGGCGGGCCGTCGTGGAGACTCAGAGTACGCGCGGTGCAGATGGTGAGGTAAAAGTATTCACTGTTCCCGGCGTAAACAGTGGAGCGGAGGTTGCGCCAGAGGACTTGGCGCCGATCGATCATGATGCAGTTGATGCCGAGGAAAAGCCCAACGGCGAAGGAACAATAGAGGGTCGATATGGAACAATCCGGCGTGCTCAGTCGGAGAGCAAGCCTTACGATCCGTTCTGGAATCGAACGAAGGAGCTTATCCGCTACCCTCACCCGAACTGTGGCTGTCGGAAAATACTACTCATTGTGATTTTCAACGTACACGATCACTACGACAACATCCCATTTATTCACACGCTCTACGGGAATGTGTTCTGCAACATTGTGCACTATGGACCGAAGAGCAGCGACCTGTACGAAGTACGCCTGGCCATGGACGGAGCGGCGGGCGCTCACCAGCACAAGACGGTGGCGCAGGCCTTCAGGGACTTTCCCCACTACCAGGGCTACATGTGGGCGGGGGATGACGTCATGATCAACGTGCATCGCATGTTCGGCAGCCTGCGGCACCTGGACGTCGGCAACATCTGGCTGCAGCAGTACAAGGCCGGGCAGAAGGTCGACTTGTCCAAGCTACCGCAGGCCTGGGCATGGACACATCCGTTCAACAAAACAACGCCCGGCGACGTTCTGGTTCGCGAGTGGCGCACCAAGCTGCCCGAGCGCTTCAAGCAGCGGCAGAAGACGGTGCTTGGCGGCGAATACATGCTGGGAGTGGCGTCCGACATGGGCTATATACCGGCGGAGTTCATGCCGGATTTCGCCGAGCTGACCGACCTGTTCCCGACGCTGCTCTTCGAAATCTTCATCCCGACGGTGGCGCGACTGCTGACGACGGACAAGAGCCGAGTGCAGACGCTCAACGGCCTGTATCTGTGGAGCTACCAGCGTCCGTCCTGGTTCAAGATGTACAATCTGCATGTGCACGACTTTGTGCATCCGGTCAAGCTCTCCATGCCCTGGAGTAGGGAGGAAGTGGAGAGAAGAGCTAACTTCTCATGGAGCCCGCAGCCCGGTATTTGCTAGAAGACGTACATGTATTAAATTCTTGCCCCGTTCAAGTTCAAACATCCGTGACCTCTGTATTTCGGCACTGAGGCTGCAAGCCACACTCTGGACTTGACGATTTTCTTCTTTGATGCTAAACTAAGGAGTCGGTTTTTCACTCCCCAACTCTTGAGCTTATCATTAAACAGTGCGAGCGGGATCTAGCAAGGGCTGGTCCACTTACATGTACATGGTGTAGAAATATTACTACTCTAGTTGCCAATTTTGGTGGTAACCGGCCAGGGGACATACATGTACATGTGTCTCTGGTCCTTCCCCCATTGAAGCGTGTGTGATTCAGCGTTCGTGTACGTGTATGCGGACATTTCAAATACAGCATGCATGGGCAGTGCTCGGTGCCCGGATAGTAGAGATACCGGCACATGTAGGACTAGGAGTGCTGCCGTGTCTATTTTTTCCCGTATTAGGAGGCTTTACTTCCTGGGCTGAAAAGGCCCTATAGTATAGTATGACTATTAAAACACGTTAGTTATGTAAATGTAAATGTAAATGTAAATGTACATTTACATTTACATTTACATGTTAGTACAGTTACTTACATTGTACAGTGTACATCAACTGATACAATCATGTACTTATCAGCAGTTGCCCTTCTTTCAACGACGTGTAACAAATGGGAAACACATGGCAAAAGGCAGCAACGTGTACATGTATGAGCATCTCTATGACTGACTGTACAATCATGTACATAATTCCATTTTTGGGACATGGGGGGGGGGGGGGTTGGGTTGGAGTGGTCCGAGATTTGCAGGATGGTTCTATAACAAAAAAAAGTATAAGACAACATGTTTCCCTGGGACACAATAGTCAGCTAAGCAGACGACGCTGAACATTTGCCAGTATTGTAGTTTGCAGAGTAGAATGAATGCCCTTTTCTATTTCACTCTTCACTACGGTACATGTACTTGTTTCCTGAATCTTCGTGTAAATGCTGAACTAGTTCTTCAACTTCAAGTGTCCATTGCCATTGGCACTAGTGCACTGCACTGGTGACTGTTGCCATTGCCTTTGCCTGGCTTTGGCGTTGTGCGTCGTATACCTACAATGACCATGATATTTCAAGTCATGTAGAGGTCTACTCAGTATTGTACAATCATGTACATAATTACATGAAACCTACTACTTGTCCTGTATATGGTCATGTACAAAAAAGACTACCACGTACCAGAGGCTCTACACTCTACCCTACACGGCCCGGCTACAGTCAGTACTGCAGTCATGATGTAGCAGATCTGTCCGTGCACTTAGTGACTTACCTACGCTACACTGGACCGGGCCTGGGATATTATCGATAAACTTCAGAAAAGTACCGGTGCGCAAGCCTCACATGTTTTATGCGGTGGTGCACAGCATGTACGGTGAGTTCTGAGCAGCTAGCGAGCGCCATTGAAAACCGCGTGGTGTCATTCTGCACCGCGCTCATTTCTACACCGCTTCTCAGCTTCACAAACCCCTGCAGTTTTATTCAACAGTTTTGATTCCAATCGATAACACTACCATTCTTCCGAAGTGAAGCCAACTATTTGGGACGGTAGCCGCGGGATCGACTTCAGTGTTTCGGGACTTGGCCATTGTAAACTAGATAAACCATTGGAAACTGTTGAGCACTGAAAGGTGACTGAATCACTTCCTCGGTGAGCGGAACCGTTTTAGGATCGGTATTGCTCGCACCGCCAGTTCGTAGTGCGTGGTGGTTGTTTGTGCCCACGTTTGCTTAACTCCGGGTGAGGATGGAGGTGAGCGCCATGGCTTGGCTGATGCTAGCATTGTGCCTGGCTGTCGTGCTTCGCGCAGCAAATGCTCAAGGTGAGTGTACGGTCGTTGTGTGTTTGTTGCGCGCTCGCGGCGCTTGTGTTTTCCGTCCTTTGTGTAAGTGAGCCCGCACATGTGCGTTTCGATCTGGAAACAAACTCTTGACCATGCCGTAGGCAGCTGGTTTACTCCAGGCATAGCGGATACATGTACGTATTCTTTGTAGGGGTTCTTCGCGGTGGTGTTGTGCATATTTTGTTGGATGTTTCTCATTCATTGGATTATTGTAGTCGTCGGAACTTTACTTTCGGAGAGTCCGTCCGATTTACTTTTGAAGTTTTGTTGTTTACACGCGTCTTGGACACAATCATGCAGCTCTACGTACGTGACGGTACTGTTGTAGTAGGATTGTGTGGGTAGTTTTACAGAGAGTCCGCGTGTTGCTCTGGTCTTGGGAGCTCGGAGCGCTGACAGGCTTGTTCGTGTTCCCAGAGCGCCCTGTCTTGTCCGTGTCACTGTCATTCCGCGTTTGTCACTCTCTTCCGAACGTTTTTGTGCGCACACGATCGTTTCAGTGAGGCTTCACAATCAAAATGCAGTAACACTTGCACTCGCACTCACAGATCAGTCATGCGCTGTTTGCTCTGCACTGACTGCAGTCCTTTGCCGTTTGGGTGTCGTGATCATGTCAGGGTCTGTGCGTGTTGCCGTTGGTGAGCCAGCTAGGCTGTCGATGCCGTCGATGGCGTAGCTTGCAGTGTAGCTTGCAGTGTAGGTCGAATGTTTGTACGTGCAGTATGTGTGCATGTGTTGTCCTTGCTGTCAAGTCCGTGTCACACACGAACCCGCTGTTGACGTTCGCGATGCAGTCTTGTCCAACATCACACGGCTGTTTTTTTGCGCGATTTTGGCCCATTTAATATGGCGGCCGAGAACGCGTAAAAATTCATGATTTTCGTCCAGGAATTGCTTTAGACAGCTAAGTATTCCACAGACTTCGCCACTTTTCGTCTCCAATCAGCTTGGTTTACCCTGAGTTTTCGATTTTTCGGCTTTGCCTTTCCCTCAGCTCCGCGTACATGCCGGGCGACCACTGCTTCGATTTGTTTCCTTGTCTCTGGAGGACGTTTGTTTTCCTCTCCTGGGACGTTCGTCGTGCAGAATTTGAGCCAACGTTTGTGCCCCAAATAGTATCCCCAGATTTGAGTATCGTTTAGATAATTTGGAATCGGGTAGGTAAGTGTCCGTTCTGGTGCTGTAGAAAATTTCGTTCCGTGACGTGCATCAATTCCGTGTGACTTGCGTTTGCAATATTCCCAAACTTTTGGTATTTCCCACACTTACTGGATCGTAACTGCAATTGTGTTACTCTCCAGTTGTTGTGAGGACGTAGGGTGATCATGGATGAGCATAAATCGCCACTGCAAGAAGTCTGCCGAGTCGGTGGCAGAAAGTTTTCCTGTTTCCAGCAGTCTACCAGATATTCATATAGTGTGGAAAAATATAGTGATCTGCTGAAATATGTACATGGCAATGAAATCTCGAAAGATTGCTCAGACATCCACCCACCGTACATCTGTATTCTGTGCGAGCGAGCCCTAAAGAGAGCCAGTAGAAAGGCAGAACATTGTGAAGGTGGCTGTGGACCTGTCACCAAATGGGAGCCACACCATCGCACCAACTGCTCTGTGTGTGCAAGCCAGAAAAAAAGGGGCGCAAGCGCGCACCATGCAAAACCGAACACAGCATTGCGAGGTGCCGCACTCCTGGCAGCACCCAGCCACCAGAGCGATGATGGATCACCTACACACTCAGCCACCAGCAGTGTAAGTGGTCTAGATATCAGTGCAGAATGCATACAATCAAGAGCAGCGCGACAACATCGTGCAACACTGCCGCTTGACAGGGATAGATTTTTAGACAGAAATGCGGTGCAAATTTGCATCATTTGTCAGAATACCGCAGACGGTATCCTGGAAACAGCATGCTGCAATGATCCGAGTTGTGCAGAGTGCATAAGCGAATGGCTCAGCACGAATAACACATGCAAATCTTGCAGCGCTGACATGGCTGCATCATCGATGCGCACGCCCAGCATTAGTCTAACCAGGGTTGTCAGCAGCCAGTCCATACACTGCGACTTCCACGAGCCATCGCTATGTGGATGTCCTGAAGTCGTGCCGCTGCATGACTTGCAACGTCATGTCAACATGTGCCCGTTCAATCCCGCAGAGACGCCATCATGCAGCACAGCACGTAGCCCGCCGCCGAGCACGACACCTATCCGCTCTGTGCGCCCATCGTCAACAGTGGCTGAGGTTTTCAGTGCTTCTCCGTCGAAGTTGAAGGGCAATGTGGCAACCAACCTCACTGCACGTCTGGTCACGGCTAGGGCAGAGGGTGGCAGGCTGGAGGTGAAAACTGGCGAAGGAGGCAGGGGCAAACCGCAAGTTTACCAGCTAACACCAGAGTGCAGTGTACCGTCAACCGATGCGTCTGCCTCAACACTCAAACGCCGCGCTGCTGAGCTGACCCGAATTGCAGAGTCCGTTTGTGGTGGATCGGATGGAGCTCGAGTGCAAATGATTGCTGGGCTGAAGCGGCTCTCATCAGCTGCACAGGAGGAGCTCAGGCAGACCTCCGACTGCCATGGAGCCAATTCAGGAAGCTGCGGCAGTGGCTCAAGGTCTTCGGAGTAAAGTTGGAGTCTGAGCGTTCTATACGAGAGTTCATCACGAAGACGCTGCCCAGCTACACCGCTACAGAGCTGCCGATGTCGAAGCGGAATGGCGATGTCTCCATGGCTGCCACTGTATTTTTTCCAGACCTTGTCGCTGTTGTCATGCACTTCCTCGACATCCTCAATGAGAGTGACAGGCACGATTGCCTGAAAGCTTGACATGGCATTCAGGCACGGCAGCAGTTACGAAGAACCAGCAACACACTTCGACTGTCGACGCCTTGAAGGACGAAATCGCCAAGCTATGCCGCAGTAAGGACTTCAGTGGCCCATGCGTAGCCTCTGTGGAGCCTGTTCTCCAACACCACAAGATCGAACGTCAAGTGTACCACGGTGGTGCTTTCATCGGCAATCACGTCCACCAAGCCTTGAAGCCCACCGTGGTCACTGCCATCAGCCATGCTCACGTACCGGTCCTCACGTCCAGGTGTCCAGTCCTGGCGGAGGAGGCCCAAACAATAGCATCTTTACACGAGAATCTGATGAACAGCTACGCTTCTTGTCGAGCTATCTTCAGTCACAGCCAGGCAGTTTCAGCAGACGAGATGGATCAGCTGGAGTCTGAAGTTCGGCGTTTCTTGAGTATGTGCAGACGACACGTTGTGACACGGCGACTTGGAAACATCACGCCGAAACTTCACCTGTTAGAGAATCATACGGTGCCGCTCATCAGGAAACTTGGCGTTGGTCTTAGCCTGCTCGCGGAGCAAGGGGCAGAGAGCTTGCACGCCAGTCTCAACACCCTCAACGCCATCTATAAAAACATACCAGGAGACCTCGCCAGGCTGAAAGTTGTCGCCGAGCAGCATCTGCTAACAACCACCAAAGAAGCCAGTACGCTGGCTCCTCGTCCACAGAAGAGGAATGCCGAGGACCAAGGTTCAGTCTCCTCGTAAACAGGTAAGAAGACAGCGTGGTGACAGCAATGTCTGTCTTCGTGTTTGTATTTCCAACGCTCCAAAGAAAAACATTTGGAGCACAAGATCATGCTCCTCTTTCAAATTTTCAAACGATCTTCAACTGTTTGCGTTTTTTGTGTCGAATCATACTGAAAACCAACTTGGTTTTGTTACTATTCACAATAATTTACCGATTCGCATCGAGTTTCCAAAACTTCTCTAAAACCCGGTGGAACGGCGCCATATTGTAATCTGGTCAGCCGCGGACAGCCGTGATCATGACAGACCAAATCCTCGACTACAGACAGAGACAGTGTGTAGATTTAGTGTGTGTGTGTGTGTGTGTGTGTGTGTGTGTGTGTGTGTTTGTCCCAGAGGAGCTATACAACGATTATCATGTGTCTGCATGGCAATGAATGACGGTTCACATTCAACAACTACAGTGTAGCTAGCCTATAGTTTTCGAAATGAAAGACAAATGCACCCTGCGTTGCATTTGTGAGCTACAAACCATTATTATCCGCACAGAGGTGATAAAGACATCAAATTATTATTTCCGCGACAAGACTACTCAGGCTGCTAGTACATGGGGTTTGTGCTCACACTGTGTGTCGTACTTTGACGATGTGGTGGATTTCATGAAGTGAGATCGTGCGAAGTCTGCATGATTGTGTGTCATGGTTTACAAAACTGCATCCCTGAGTCTGAGATTTGGGCACTACTAGTAGTAGTGTTCAGGGCAGGGCGTCCCACTGCTGTTAGTGTCTGTTGTGACCGTTCAGGTTGTATTTGTAGGGTTTGGCGTTAGGAAAGACTCTCATGCCATGGGTAATCACTGCCTGAGGCAATGAATTGAAGGCAGTTGTGGTGGGAATGCAGCACGCACGGGTGTAGTAAATTGTAGCAAATTGAAATGCTGTTGTTATTTTTAGAGTGCTGCCTATCAGTATTATGCTGCAAGATCATAACATGTACATAGTCATTACTTGTATCTCAGAGTGCTGTTCTGTGAGTGATGGTGCTGTGTTGGTGGAGCAATTACAATCGTGTTAGTGGACGCCGCATTTTTGTGTAGCAATGTGTAATCAAGGTTATGTAGTACAATAGTAGTAGTTGCCGCCACTACGCTGAGGTACATGTATGTACATGACTGTACACAATGACTCGTACATACTTCACGCAGTTGAGACATGAGCTTTTCAGCGCCGCGATGTTCGCAGGTGAAAGACTTAGTTGTGTTGCATGTACATGCATTCACCGTTGTAGGAATGGAGACGTCCAAATGAGAACAATACAATACCAGTAAGGTTTTAGTATGACAGAGAAAGTTCTAGTTGGAGACAATATAGCTATTATTGATAGAAACTAGGTCAGAAACGATTTTACCAATGACTCGGTAACCGATCAATAATTTC